AAAAAAAATAAACCACCACCCTCGGACGTTGCCCCCCCCAGAACGGACAGTAGTTCACTCATCACACTGTCTCTTTGTCATAAACACGGACTCTTGGACTGAAGGTTGCTATCAGTTCATCAAATCTCTTCATTTCTTTCGTTTGGTTAATTTCATTTTATTTTTACCAATTATTTATTTTCCATTTGAGTTTAAAAAAAATTTTTTTTTTTAGTCTGAGGAAAAACAAATGGGTTTATTTGTGGTACCAGCCTTAGGACTCCGTTATGAAGGCCTTCATAACAAGTAGGGTTAGGGAACGGGAATTATGGGTAGTCGTGTATGTGCTGAAGGAAAGTGTTTGTTATTGATTGCACTGACTTGTATGAATGTAGTTTCTATGTTTTTTAAACCATTTTATATTTATTTATTTTATTTATTTTGCATTTCAATTTGATTTGAGGATTATAAACTGTTACAAAAGCACTTTTAATGATTGCCAATTCATAGACTGCTGTACATCTTGTATTGTATTTTATTTACAATCGTATTCTATAGAAAATATATTATATACAGTAAATATAAATATATAAAAATATATAAATATAAAGCCTTTATTGTCCATCTTATATTTTGTGGGGAACTGCAATGTTTGACTAAATTTGTTGAATATTTGGAAGTGAACCTGTGACTTGATTTGTATGGTGTCTGTATAAAAAAACGAAAATAAAAAAAAGAAATAAACTGTTAAAAATTACATACCAGAGTGGGCTCACTTTAACTCCTGTCTACCTCCCCATCAAGAGTGGGCATCTCCTCATCATGGTACGAATGAGACCATCACTGTCCTCCTGAACGGAGTGTGTGTGCACGTTCGTGTGTGCGTGTCGCCTGCCAGTGAGAACCAAAGACCTTCTTCCCCTTTTTTTTTGTCTATAATCAGCAGCCTGAAGCACGACAGACGACTCATATTTTGCTCGACTCTTGTTTCCCCTCCAGCTCTTACAGGTACCGTCTGAGGATGAACGACAAGTCAAATGTTTTTTTTGTTTTTTGTTTTTTTGTAACGTATCTCATTTAATGTTTCCAGTGTTTTGATGCTGGTATTCTTTTTCGTTTGTTTGTTTTCTTTTTATCGTGAAATTGTTTCCATTGGAAATTCTTCTGTTAACCTGTGGTTGCAAAGGTATTTTAATGGCCAAATGAGGAATGCCGTTGTGAAACTTGTGCGCAGTGTCTCTAACGCTTGATTTCCTTTTGATTAACTGACACCTCTCTTACTCCCCTCTGAACTTCGGTGTGGACTTGTCCGTGTATCTATGCAAAGGGGCTGTGCGAAGTACCCTTGGTGTGCCTCTGTGGTGGACTGTCCCACTCGTGAAGGGGGGGGGGTGTGGGCCGCAGTGGCCTGAGGTCTGAGTCATGACTCTTTGGGGTAGTTTTTGTCGTATGTGTTCAGTGTTCGTTTCTTGTAATAATTTAATAATGTTTTTTTTTGACTGCACGTCAGTGTAATGTTGGTTGTTTTGCCGTTTTGCTTGTTAGTTCATCTTTCGCTTTTTTGTTTTATGTTGTTGTTTTGCAATGTCCCTTGTTATTTATTTATTTTCTTTTCCCTTCCAACACCCTACAGTCCCTCTTACTCCAAACCAATGTACACATACACACAAACACACAGCACACACACACCACGTGCCCCCCCCCCCCCCCCGCCCCACCCCAAACCCCATTGAGCGCCCCCTGTAGTTTTGTTCTGGTGACTGATGGACTCTCTTGTTTCCTTGCAGTCGCGGAAAGCCAGCGAGCAGGCAAAGAGCGTTGACTGTAAAACTGACAGCATAGGCAGTGGGAGGGCGATACCAATAAAGCAGGTGAGTCACATGACTTACAGCCACCTTAAGCCCTTTGCCTTTGAATGTTTGCCATCACTCTGTGCAGCAGGTAAGTGTGGCCTGGACTGTAATTTACAATGCATTTGTGCAGAGTATTATTATTAGTAGTAGTATAGTAGTATTATTACTATATAATACTATTCATTATTATGACAATAATAAATTATTGGTAATGGTGAATATGATATTAGTATTACAGCAGCAAAGACAGAAAATAATGAGGAAAGTATACTTAAATTAAAAAATATATCAATTAATAAAAATGTCTTACCGTGTTACTAGGAGTTAATACAAAGTGCAAAAAAAGGTGCGCAAACTCAACTCTGTACAATAATAACCACAAATGCAAAATATATGTATAGAGTATAACGGTGCAAAATGTGCAGTACAAATTGACTGTGCATTACTAGGTTTGTGTAATATATCTGATTTTGTTTTTCATATTGTAGTTGTTTAGTAGTTGTTTTAATTTATAGTTTATATTTATGTAATTGTTTTATAACACTAAGTGCCAAACTTAATTTGATTTCAGTTATAATTTTTCACCGGTATAGAGAGAATGCGAGTCGTTAAAGTGACCTTCATTCCCTTAAACTGCTGTGGTATGGGATTATTATTAATGCCTCAGACAGTCAGACACATGCATGACTGTTAAGTGAGTAATCATCGATCCCAGCCTCCTCCCACTTCTCCAGTCTCCCCTCCAATCTGCTTTAAGCAAACGTCTGTATTACTGATGAATTAGGCCTTTTCTTTCCCAGTAGATGGCGATATTGCACAATGTATTCCCACACCTGTCGTCATGCTGCCTGATTTACTGTGATGAGGATTCATGGGTTACTGAAAAGCAGCAATGAACACAATACAATGATTAACTCAGAAAATGTACTTAAATATATATATATATATATATAATATATCAGTTCTTCCACATCATATTTACTTTCTATTATAGTGAAAAAAAATTAAATAAAATAGGTCCTTTGGAATTTATCTGTTTATTTTCTGAAAAATTGATATGGATTGGGGTTTTAATTATTAAAGAATACCTTTGAAATTGTGACCATTGTAAAGCCACATGCTAGTTTGTCTTATAAGTTTAATTGATTCTGTCAATGTTCAGGCGGATAGCCTGGCAGCAGACCAGGTAACGCTTGAATGTGTTGGAAACACATCCTCGAAAACACCTGTGGCTTTCAAATAAAATAAACTTTGAAAAAGCTGTTTTTGTGTGTTGCGCCGACATGACGGATACTGACGCCGATACACGGTTGCCTTTCGTTGTCGCAAGAATGGCTCTTCGGCTGGTTTGGAGCAGACACGGCAAACGCTCATCAGCTGGTTCACGGCGTAGGAGGGGGTCCATCACTGTCCACTTCAGTCGCTAATCTAACTCAATATTACAATGGCAAAGTATATCAAAAAAAATTTTTAGTAGAATACATTAGACAGGTAGAACCGGTCGCATTGTAAATTTAATTCAGTTAATTTAATTTCTTTTTCGCTGGCACTTTTGCCCTGTTGGATGTTGCAGACCCCTGCCCATCCCGCTGAGCCTATCTGGGTTTACAGGGTCACTGTCAGTTCGGCGTGAAAGTGAACCACCCCCCCCCCCACACCCCTTGTGTTTAAATGCAAAGCGCCCCTTCTTTTCAGTTCAGGCCTATCCGGAGGATTAAACATGCGACACGGCCCCTGCAATCGCAAGAGAAAACAGGCCCCCACCCATTAGTAGCCGGATTTAGAAAGAAAAAAAAAAAAAACAAACCAACAGTGTTGATAGGAGAGGTGACTCAGAGGTCAGGCACTGAAAAGCTCGTTAATTGAAATCCGCACCCAAAATACACTCAAACTGCCCATTTTCCCTCCTTTAATTACGCACTGCAGTTCAAAGGCTACCCCCCAGATATCTTTTCAGTTGTTGATGGTCAGCAGAAGGGGGTACAGTAGGAGATGTGGGGAGGACGGGTCCAATCCAATTAAGAACCGGGGGGGTTTAAATGAGTCTGATTACTCTAAACCTGCCTTGTCAAATGCACAGTTTTCAGGATCAAAGGGGGCCTCTGTGAGCATAATTACCCCCCCTGTGTAAAAATGGGGCAAAAAAACAATGGCCTGGCTTCTGGAGAACAGTTGACACTAGGTCTTTGTCCTTCACAGTGTCCCCCCCCCCCTGCCGGTTACAAAGGGCCTGCCCATCACTCAGACAACCCTGGCAGGATGCAGCCCCCACCCCTCCACAATGAGCAGGGAAGGCCGTCCAGTTAGGCCTAATATTGTCCCTCCAGGCCTCTCAGGTCTGTACTGCTTGTCAGCTGCCCTAAAGCTGTTAAGGTGTCTATGTATTAAAATAACCCCTAAGCGTGATGGATTGACATGAATATATTTTGTAGGGGGGTGGGTGGGAGGGTGTTCCGTAATTTTTTAGTTTTTTTCCCCCCACACTCCAGTTTTCTAGGTTTTCCTTTGCGTACATACGGCATTCCTGTGTGGTTTGCGAGATGCTTCCCGGCCAATTTCATGACGTGGCCGCTTTTAATCATCCGCCAAACCAGCTTTCTGTCGTCTTTTGCCGTGTCTTTGTGGACCTGGGGAAGTAAAATCCGTAATTTCAAGGCATTTTTAATAACTGCCGGAAAGACGCGAATGTGTGCGTGACACAAAAATTAATAAGACATTATTGACAGTGCAGGTTGGTAATGGGAACAGTGATTTAACTAATGTCCCATGTATTGGTCTGTTAACGTATTGATTTTTTACAGAATGCTCGTGTCCAGGGATACAAGTCGCCTGATTACAAATATTTTTATGGATCTGTTGGCGAGTCAATAAAAGCAGGAACCTTCAAACTTACATGCTGCAGAGTGTGCAGGAGAAGGAGACCCGAAGGATGCAGTGTTGTGTCTGTGTATTCGTCCTTATTGTCATAGCGGCAAAAAAAAAACCTGGCTAGAATCAAGCCCCTGCATGCGACAGCTTATGATAGCTGGTTGTGTAACTTCTGTTGACAGAGAAACGTATTACCACAACGGCTCTCCAGGGGGCGCCCTTTGTTCAAGCTGTTTTTGCAGATTGGCGAGAATGGAGGTTCTTTTCCTCTTGTTACAAACGGTTGGCCGCCGTTTGAGTTGTTGCCGTTAAGTTGACGTGTGGCAGAAGGGCTGGAGGTCTCCCTTCCTTCGGTGATTAAGCGTAATGAATAAAAATCAACGGAAGACGCGGCTTTACGAAGGCTGCTCCTGGACAAGAAGTTGCTGGGAAATTGTGGCCGTCTGTCCATGTCTGAGCCGCACGATTTGAAGCACGTTTCTATGCTCACCCACGGCTGTTCTCAGCACAGGCGAAGAAAAAACGACGTAATGGAATGTGGAACATAACACCGTAAATGAGGCCTGCACTTAATATCCAGTCCGGTATGACGGAAAGACAGATTTGATGTTAATGTGCTGTTGTTCTTAAATACTGAAGTCATCCCTCAAGAAAACTGGGAAGTTTACTGAAGTAATTCGTAAAAGTGCCTGTGAAGTAACGTCGTTTAAATTGCTTCTCCTCTCATAGCAAATTCAGAGGATCGCTGAGCTGGTGCAAGTAAAGATGATGAGTCAAAAAAAAATATACGGAATTCAGGTTCTACTGTTACGACGACGTTCTAGAAGGGTTCTGTGATCTCCATGGCGATCCCAATTACGGTGAATCTGCTGAACAATTAACTCGGAGAACCTGAATGTGCAAGTTCAGCCAGATGTCGGCTGCGTGCGGCAGCTGTGTGTCTGTGGCTGGCTGTAGACCATGTGTGCCTGGTCTGACTGGATCTACTAGTCTTCTTGAATCATAAAGTTAGATTTTTTTTTTCCTTTCAATTCACCCCTGTCTTGTCTGCTTCCTGAATACATACAGAGGCACCCAGCTCATGTAGATGCATCTTGAGAGAACAGGCTCTGTTTTATGCGCAGGTACCTTAGACAAATGAGTCCTAGTAGGCAGGTCATTAACTCCCCCTGATTTCTGGGTTTTGAGCTGTATAATAGCTAATTGTTTATATAAAAATCAGTCTTTACGGCATTTACTGTTTTAATTGAACGTACCGGTTTAAAATAGGTGTATTTATTTTGCCGTGCTACCGCCCCTCACACCTCGCCTCCTCCAGCTGTCGTGTCTCGACCCCGGGACCAGCGGGTCACACCCCCAACATTGGGGACCCCTACCTGAGGACCCCTACCTGAGATCAAGCGGCGGCTGATTAGCATGATTGTCGGCACAGAGCCGGGGATGTGGGTCGCCGTGGGTCATCTCCTGATGTGTTAATAAGGATTATACCCCTCCAGGATGAGAGCCCCCACCAACAAGGCTGGAAAAGCACAAGAAATCTCCCTAATCCCCCAATTAAGCCCCCGCCATCCCCGGTCCTGTTTGTCCACCTCCAGGAGAGAAGCCCTATTGTTTGCGGTGGAATTACTAAACAGATGAGGGGTCAGATAAGGGGATGATGCGGATCTTTGGCGGGACTGGGGGGCGAGGGTGGGGTGAAGTATACCTTTGAAAGCCTCTGATAACGCTCTGTAATCCAGTCCTTCAGGGGTCTGCCAGAGTTCAAGCCCAGGGCCACGAAACTGAACCCCCCCCCCCCCCCACACACACACACACACACACCCGTCGATTTTGCTTATATTGTTTCAAGGCAACTGTTGCAATGCTGGATGTAATCAGATCTGACGACATTGTATTGGATATTGATCAACCAGTTTATCCATCAATCTTCCACCCATGTTTTTGGGGTGGGGGGGGGGCTTTCACGAAGGCAGGGGCACATCACAGAGCATCATTCTATATACTGTCAATCAATCTATGCAAAAATCAAGCAGTCCATTCAGACCGATTCGAGAAAATATTTCAGTGTGTCTCACTGTGTGTCCGTAGTCCGGGATTCAGAGAGGATGCATGGAAGTATCACATGAGCCAGCCGTCGGTGTCTTATTAGGAACCAGTCAGGAAATGGGAAGTTCAGGCTCCAAGTTCAGTCCTGAGCAGAAGGCGGCTGGTTCCTCACCAAATCTCGCCTCGGCTTCCGCTAGGTGAAGCCACAGCTGTTAGCCGCAGACCGGCCTGGTTTGCACATTTACATTCATTCATTTAGCTGATGCATTTGTCCAGAGCGACATACAAGCGCGGTGAAAAGTACGGCAAGCTTACAGCTGTCACAGAACCAAGAAGTGTTGCTAGACTGAGATTCCAGTGAGTGACAGATGCAGGAGATAACATGTGCAAGATGGCTGCGGGGAAAAGGAGCTTCAAAAGCACTGACTAAGACTTTGAATCCGTAATCAGAAATGCTATAAATTTGCGATTAGCCTCGGATGCAACATAAAATCAACACGCAAATATCTCCCAAGAGACAGTCTAGTAAGAAACTTGGTTTTAGTACAATACAGAAAAACGCAGAATGGTCCACTTTGTCCAGGAAGTGTTTCTTCTCCTTCTTTGCTCACCTCACCTGTGTGTGGGGGGGGGGTTGTGACGGTAAAGGTACAGTTTGCCTAAGACTCTCCCCCCCCCCTGCCCCCACCCAGGGAATCCTGCTGAAACGGAGCGGCAAGTCGCTCAACAAGGAGTGGAAGAAGAAGTATGTGACCCTGTGTGACAACGGCCTGCTGACGTACCACCCGAGCCTGCATGTGAGTGTCCCGGCCTCTCTCGCGTTCCGGAAGGTTCTGTGTGGACGTCCCTCTGACTAACAGGTTTGCAGGCCTGCTTTTGCAGCGGAGGGATTAGCATCTGTCCAGTTTCTAACTTCTACGATGTATCGACATCTCTGTCACCGACATAATAGAAATTCTCCTGGGATTTGAACCTATAATCACCTTCTGAGACACTGCACCTCTAGGAGGAGTTCCGTGGCCAGGTGCCTTCATTTCTAATAAGCTATCCTTTCACACCTGTTCTAAAGATCATTTTAGGAATTTTAAGTTTTCAAATTCTATTATTAAAAGGTGCCATCCACAAGAAGTATGTTTGCATTATAAACCTTCTTATTTAACAGATTCTATATATCGGGCGTGCCACAGAGCATTCTGTGCGGACTGCGACAGTCCGAGTTCACCTGTCTTTCCGGAACGTTGCTCAGGCTTTGTTGGATGGTTCCGGCAGCGTAGAGGCCTATGGGTACAGAACGTCTCCGGCAAGTGGCCGGGGTGGAGGGGGGGGGCGGCTGGGCCTTCGGCCTCCCGTTGCGCCCTGCCCCGTTGCGCGCTAATGAAGCAGTTGCCTCAGAGCTCCGCCCCCACGCTGGCTTGTGTTGATTACGGCGCTCAGTGGTGGCACCCGGGCGCCTGGACATCAGTCTCTGTCAGCGCCCCCAGCGCCACCCCCCCAACCCTGCCCCTGCAGCGGTACTAATGCCTCTTAAACACTCTTCCTCCCTCTGTCCTGCTCTCCCTCCTGTGCTCCTAATCCATGTCTTCCTCTTCTTCCCGATCCCTGTAATCCTCATCCTCATCTCTCCAACCCTGTCTTTTTTCATGCACCGTGCCCCACCCTACTGGCCAGTAGGTGGCCTCGCCTGACTGTGGCTGTTTAGACAGTTTTGCGGGGGGGGTGGGTGGGTGGGTGGGTGAGCAGCATTATACCCCATAATGCTTAAGCTCACCCAGCCCCGCTGGTCGGATGCCACCGAAAGCCGTTTTGGGCCCCAGCCGCGTATCTGCCAGGCGGCCTTCCCGCTAACGTCCGAGGGAAGAGCCCATAACGAGACGGCGGTACGCAGAACCGGGAGCAGAGTCGGCCCTCGGCGGAAGGGAGCCGATGCCCTTATCGGCAGTGATGATGGGAATCGCCGCTAATGATGCCGGGTGATTAGGATCATCTCCGTCCCGGCGAATCCCAGGCGAGAAGACGAAGCGGGCGCCCCCCAAATCTCGGTCACCTGGTAGCCTGTGTCAGCACCCCTCGCCAGCAGAGTGATCGGGGAGGGAGAGAGAGAGAGTGCGAGGCTTCCTTCCACTCTGTAGTCAGCCGTGCCATTCTCACAATCACCGTCTGTTAATTCTATCTGCTACATCAATTAAATTGTTTGTGGAAACTAATTGAATGTGGCTTAATCACACATCTTAATAGCTTTACACGCTCCGAACTGGCTGTTAATTCCAGTAATAAAATGAAATGAGGGCGCTCACTGGGTAATTAGCAAGAAAGCTTGCGAAGAAATTAGTGCTTTATGGCGTGTAGTAAAAGGAGGAGAGCTGGCAGGGGCTTCGATGGCCGAGCCCTCCCGCTCTTTTTTTCTGCTGATCGCAGTCGGTTGCCCCCCCCCCCCCCCCATTTATTTACTTGTTCAGAGAAGCAAAATTCATTAGTTTTTCCCACTTTAGCCGCAGCTCCGGTGGTCGGGTTCTGAGTGTGAAATAATATGAACGTTAATAACTGTTGGATGTCTGCCCCCCCCGCCCTCCTGACTGGACCGGGGGTGGGGTCCGCCGCAGGTTCTGCTGGGGCTCCGATCGTTGCGGCTGCTGATCTGCGTACCTTCTGTGACATTTTGAGTTTTGCTCACCTGGTTCATCGGCCATCGCCGTTTCCGTAACGGTCTGATCCATCGCCATGACGTTTGTCGTCTACCCAGTGAAGATCCCAGCGATGGCTGTGATTGGTTTACCGAGGATCATGTCTCCATAGGAAGGGCTGAAGATGGCTCTTAGTTACGACATAGGATGTATGGGAAGAACAACAGTTGAACTGCTTCATTTGAAGCTGAGATGGTGTAACTTATATTCCATGTAATGTACACCTGAATGAATTCTAAAAATCACCTGCTGATTTTCTGCCCCCTTTATTAAACATGAATGGTATTAACAACTTGACCAATGAGTTGAGAAGAATCGCCTTGTTGAATTCAAGTGCTTGTATTTCTTTTCTGTGATGACACTGGTGCACTGAGTGTTTGTATGACTGTCTGTGATGACGCTGGTGCACTGAGTGTTTGTATGACTGTCTGTGATGACGCTGGTGCACTGAGTGTTTGTATGACTGTCTGTGATGACGCTCGTGCACTGAGTGTTTGTATGACTGTCTGTGATGATGCTGGTGCACTGAGTGTTTGTATGACTGTGATGACGCTGGTGCACTGAGTGTTTGTATGACTGTCTGTGCATGTGCCCTTCAGGACTACATGCAAAACGTGCACGGCAAGGAGATCGACCTGCTGAGAACCACGGTCAAAGTTCCCGGGAAGAGGCCCCCCAGGGCGGTGGCCACGGTCGCCCCGACCGCCAGCCCGAAGACCAATGGGCTGAGCAAGGACCGAAGCACCCTGCAGCTGGGCACGGCAGGTATGGACAATGGCGGGTATGGGCACGGCGGATAAGGGCACGGGCACAGCATATAAGGGCAGGGCAGGTATGGACAATGGCGGATAAGGGCACGGGCACAGCATATAAGGGCAGGGCAGGTATGGGCATGACGGATAAGGGCATGGGCACAGCATATAAGGGCACGGCGGGTATGGGCACGGGCATGGCAAATAAGGTCACAGGTACGGCGGATAAGGGCACAACGGATAAGGCATGGTGGGTAAGGGCACGGTGGGTAAGGGCACAGAGGATAAGGGCACGGCTGGTATAGACAATGGCAGGTATGGACACCGGCACGGTGGAAAAGGGCACGGGCACGGCAGGTATGGACATTGGCGGGTATGGACATGGTGGGTATGGGCACGGGCATGGCGGATAAGTGCATGGGCACTGTGGGTGTGGGCACGGGCATGGCGAGTATGGGCACAGGCACGGCGGGGTAGGGCTAAGGCATGGTGGGTAAGGGCACAGCTGGTAAAGGTATGGCAGGTACAGGCATGGCAGGTTAAGGACAATGGCCTGTCACACGGCGCAAGTATGAGCTAATGCCACACTGTCCTTCACTGGGCGGCTTCCACATTAGTTGAAATAGTGTCTGACATTTAATTGAGGATGGTTTACAGAATCACCCTGGAAAACACTTGTTGAGCTGATTACATGGGCAAGCAGAACATGCAGAAAACTCTTCCTCATTCATACAAAAAGAGGTGAAGTATTGAAAGCATTTAGAATCTGACCTGTAACCATGAATGTGACGTAACAACATGTTTGATGACGCTTTGGCCAAGAGTGGTGCTCAAGTTTGTGAGATCGATAGAGTTTCCTGCAGCCACCATTCAGCCTAAGACCGTCTTCCTCAGCCTGGGACCCCTAACAGCCACGTCCACTGGACTGACCTGTCTCTGCGTGACAGAATTAACATGCTGCATCCGGGCGTTCCCATGCCAGCCCACCTGATTGGCTGATTAAAGTTGAGCGGAACGCGGATGCGCGCGGCTAAATGAATCCTGGGCGGTGAGTAGGCGGGGCTACTTGAAAACGAGGCCGTTGCTCGACATACAGGACCGTGCCGGCTGAGGGTTCGCTGCCTGACGCGACGCAGAGCCCCCGGCGTTAATAGGGGCTCCTGGGGGGGGGGGGGCAGCTCTATCACAAAACCACTGATACTACAAGGCTTTGCTCAAGTGTTCTAGGGAGGAACTCTAGGGCAGAACCAGGCTTCCTGTAACCAGAGACGTGAAAAACCAGAGGAGACAGGGGAAGACATACCCTATCACGTTTAATTTGGCTTCATTCATCCCTCCTAATAAATAGACCTCTGCCTTTAGTTTTTTCCTTGTGTGTCCCCCAATATGAAACTCTCTCCTACGCCCTTGCCAGTAAGCGTTTGTGAAACAGAAACTCCTAGTAACTTTGCTTTTGGGGGAGTTTCTCAGTGCTAATTAGTCCATGTGTCTTTACAAAGAGCCCTCATTTTTATGGAGTTCTGCTGTTTATCCACTTAATGTTTCCCCAGGTGCTGCGTTTGGTCTACGACCCCTCCGGTACAGACCCGTGATTTAGCCCGTCGTTTGACTTTTTGAAGGTTTCTTTATAAAGCAGTTGTTGTTTATCTGAGCCGAGCCTGGGTTCCGTTTCAGGCCCCGCCGAGCGCCCATTAGGCCCGGAACAGGACGCGGGCAAAGTCTGGAGATTTTGTTATATGGTGGCGGCTGCATTTCCCTGAACGAGCCACTAGGGGCAGTGTGGAGCAGCGCTGCAGAAAGTCACAATGGGACTTAGGTACTGCAATTAAAGGCAATTAATACAAATTAGGAGAGGGAGCCCTTGGGGCTCTTTGAGAAAGAGTGCAAGTGGAGGTGGGAAGGTACAGACGGACAATAATCCGCTACAGCGCGCCGGTAGCTATGTTGGGTGAGAGTGATCTGTGAGCCAGTCCGCGGTTTTCTCCATCTCACGGCCTGCCCCCCCTCGGCCCCCACCCCTCTCACCAGCGCAAGGCCCGAGCCATCCTGGCCACGGTCCAATCCGGCGGCACAGTTAAAGAGGTTAATTAGTCCAACAGAGGGCAGCTGACAGCACGCCCAGCCATCGGGGGTGGGGCAGCGTGATTTTCCAGCCCGCAGATGATTAACCTTCAGGAGGTGGTGGAGGAGAGGTGCAGGGTCCCTGGGCTGCGTGAGCGGCGTCCCATTAATGCTAACTAGGTTTTTAACTCGCAGCGCTGTCGCGTTAGTGTGGGCCGCTCGGCCGTCCCGGGAGGGGACTCTCTCGGACTGTTCTGTCCTCCTGGCGGGAGCGCGAGCCCAAAATAAAGGCAGAATGGGGGGCACAACTTCCTCAAACACGGCTCTAAAGTAGGTTTGGGCCCAAAGCTAAAAAGCTAAAATCCGCCGCTTTTTAGGTTCTCCGCACCTTTAAGCGGCCATTTTTTTTTTTTCTTCTTTCACAGCAGGTTAATTCCTTACAAATAATCTGCTATAAATAAAACTCAGGGGTTGCCATGCAGGTGCCCGTGGGACAGAGAGAAATCAGTTTCTTCTGCGGTTTCCAAAAATCACCTTTTATTTTTATTTTTTTTGTCAGGCCGCTCCGGTCCCTTCCTGCCCCCCCCCAACCCCCCACCTCACAGTTTCAGCACCAGTCCACTCAGAAAAACGGCGTTAATCTGCGCGCGCGAGAGAGGAGGTTATGAATCACAGCGTGATCCCTGGAGTGAAGGGCCTGCACTTGATTATCCGATCTGATTTTGATTTCATTAGGCATGCAATTGATGAAATGAACAAAGGGGTAATTTTTCATTCACGGAAGGTGAGGCGGAGCTCCGTCTTTTTCTTTCCTAATTCATCCACTGTGCAGATCTAAAAGGCCTTTTATGAACAGGGCTGTTTTGGGGGGGGGGGGAGGCTCTCAGACAAGGCAGAGTTGGGTATGTGAGGGGGGTGTGTGCGGGGGCTGGAGAGGTGTGTGTCTGGACAGGACACAGATTGAACATCTCTGCCATATAGTCCCTGGCAGATTTTAAATATTATGATCCTCTTAACAGGCTGTCAGTCGTGTCATATTACATCAAAGTGTTAATGACCCCCATCAGTTTTGATCAGCGGTTTGTATGGCAGCTGGGGGGTGGGGGCTGGGCTGGCCTTTGTGCTGTTCAGGTGGCCCGTGACCTGCTGTTGGGGTCGGACCCAAGCCGACCCCGT